CATTAATTCTATCTATAGTGTAGATGTGCCCTCAGTCAAAAGCAGTTAACCACCAGAGTATGGTAGCCCTAGTAGGCCCTTTTGTGACTTTCTCAGAAGTGATGACCAGGAGCATTTTATAGCCCAAATACCTCTGGTACGATGAACTTAATTCAGTGGATTAGAAAGTACAGACAGCTTTGGATTAAGCTATCTCATTATAACTTAAATATCACATGAACAGTTATTTATCTTGGCAAAAATGATGTTATTTAGGCAACCAGATATTATCAGATATGTGGTACACTGAGAGACTTTGCCATCAGAACTCAGCTATCATCTGAAACTTACAGTGTGGATTAAAGCAACAGCAACAGATTTCTTCATAGAAATAGTGAGAACTGGGAAAAGAGAGAGCAGGGAAGCAACTACAAAGCAACAGGATTGTGCATAGCTTGCATGAACAACATTAGGGAGAGCAAAGGGAAGTATTGGTCTCCTGCCAAAAAAAGAGGAAATTCCACCACTGGAGAACCCAAAAGCTCTGAGGGATAACATTGCACTTTGTTCCACACTTTGGCCTAAAGAATGCCGGAAACAGACAGCTTAGGGAGATAAATACTGGAATCATGAGAGTGCACAACCATGGGACAAACAAACCGTTGCAAGTGGATAGTCACAACAAGAGAAATCCAGATAGCATTTGACTGCTTCACCATAACCACAAACAGGGTAGGTCAGACTAAATGGACTGAAAGAATAATACCTGATGATTTGCTGATCAGCTGCCTATATGGACTCGAACTCCCTGGAGGACTCTCCAGTCTTACACTCTTTTTCCAATGTTGTTTTTCTCCATCGCTCTTAGAGAAAAAGGCCAGTATATATTCTCAGATGCAGAAAACAAGTGAAGGAGGCAAATGGCACCTTTCTATAAAACAGCCTTAGTTTTCAAGGACCCTTAAGAAATCCTGAAGAAAAAAAGACTGTGAAATGCCCCTAAAGTGCTCTTCATACGCTATATGACAGATGTCTATTTTTGTATCTCTATCTTATGGTATCTACATTTCTTTAAGGATCACGGTTCAAGGACTCAGCTGCAACAAGCAGTAAGATTACAAAGTATAACATCCCTTGGACTGAACTATTTCAGGGTGTAAATTACCCAGGACTATATCTCTGGTTATATCTCTGTGTGATAGTTTATGTTATTTTAGGTGATGTGTTTAATAATGTTAATTTTTATTAGGGGAGGGTCAATTTTAATGTTTATACTGTTTTTATTGAGGGCACTGAATTGTTAACAATACTGTGAATTGTCCTGATTCTCCTTTGGGGTTGAGAAGGGTGGTATACAAATATCACAAATAAATCAACAAATCAATCAATAAATATGTCTCTTTCTGGGTGGAGGGAATTGGGAGACGAGTCCACCCCCATATTAAAATCAAATCAAATCAAACCAAATTAGACATCTCTCTGTACCGGCCATTTGGCTGACCTGTTACTTTAAAACAAACAGACAGACAGATAGAAAACCACCAAGTAGGTATTTTAAATTTAAAATAAAGGGTGAACATTTAAAAAGTTTGCCCTTAGCTACAGTCTGAAGCAATACAGGTACAGCAAAGAAAAACCACGTGATTCTGCCAACGGTATAATTTTGTTCTGTTTCATGGATTGCGGCCTAAATCAGCTGGCAGGGAATACTTCCCTCTCATTCTATAGAGCTTCCCACATTTTGTAAAGGATTGCCATTGCAAATAGCTTTTGTAAGCAAATACTAGTAAATCTTTTCTTTCCAACCGCTTCCCCACAACAAAACAGGAGCTGAACACCAGTTTACCTCATAGCCAAATATACCTTTCATTCTTTCTTAGATTTTGGAAACAATAACTGGATATTAAGAACAAATTCTGTTGGTCCAACAGCCAAATAAGAAGGGAGATGAGTCTGTAAAGCTGACGTTTTCTGTGCCCAAGCACTGGCACAAAACTATATCTAACATACCAGTCTTCATGTTATGATTTTTTTTGTGTGTGTGTCAGGAGCAAGCCCCCCCCCCCACTTTTTAATGTTGCTTGTTAAAAGTTCCCTTCCATTACTGTCAAGTTTCTGGTGTGAGAGAATTTGCTGTCTGCAAGGATGTTGCCCAGGGGACACCTGGTTGTTTTACCATCCTGTGGGAGGATTCTCTCATGTCCCCCCATAAGAAGCTGGAGCTGACAGATGGGAGCTCACTCCACTCCATGGATTTGGACTGCTGACCTTTTGGTCAGCAGTCCTGCTGGTACAAGGGTTTAACCTATAGATGATCTTAACAAAGAGTGAAAAAAGTGAATGATTTAAAGAAAAGTTTGGGGGTAGTGGAGTTAGAGAACTTTGTCATAAAAATATGGCTTCCTCAGACTTTAGCTCAAAAAGGCCATGGAATATGTATATTCTACTAATCCCTCTGCAATACAGTTTTTCACTATCAGCCAGCACTGAAGCGATGATTCTATGCCATTGACTTCTCTGGACTGGCCATGTCGATGAACAGCAAAAAAGAGTAAAGATGTGGTTAAAGTTAACCTTAAACATGTGAAATAAACACCAAGAACCGGGAAGCCCTGGCCCTCGAGTGTGCTAGTTGCAGGTCAGCTGTCACCAAGGGTGCCATGCATATTGAGGAGGAATGAATAGAAAAAGAAAGGGAGAAACATGTCATGAGGAAGGCGCATTAAGGAAACCCATCTGGAAACCTATGTCCTCACTGGAAAAAACCATGCGGATCCAGAATAGATCTCCACAGTCACTTACAGGCCCACCATCAAGACTCTGTCCTTGGAAGACAAGCATACTCGGCAATGAGGAATCACCTATAGTTGTAGTCTACAATGCAGAATTAATGCAATTAAAGTAGTGGAAAACTGCATTAACACTACAGTGAAAAACCAACATAAGGCATTCCTGTTACCAATCTTAGTTTGCTTTCAATAAAACCTAAGAGCCCCTTTGATTTTTTTTACATGAACACCACAGCCAAATGTTGATTTGGTTCATCAAACCTGATATCTCAGGAGGTTACCACTGATTCTTTTATTTGAGGCAGAAAGGTTTCAATACAAATTTTCTGTATTAAATAACCAGAGAGCTATGTCCCACATCTCCAGAAAGTTTGCCTGGAGAGTCACTTATTTTGAATGTGAACATGTACAACAGTTGATTTGTGTTTTACTTGAGCCTGTTAAGTTCCAGACCCCAAGTAACCAAAGCGGAAGACATTTCAGTTGGTTGGGTTTTAGTATTTTAAAGCCAGGAATGCTTCTTGCTTCAACCATAACCCAAGATTAATGTCAAAATGAAGCGAAGCTAGTTTGAGAGGAATTATAAATAAAACCTTTCATTGTGGGTGGGGATGAGATATTTTTCTCTCTTTTAAAAATAGAACTAATTATAATAGCTTTAGCTTGAAAGACTGGGTTACTATATAATGCTATATTCCATATTCTAATGGAAGATGTTGATAATGAGAATAGCTACAGTTACCAATTGTAAAGTCATTGTTAGTTTCTTTGTTTTAAGTAATCATAGCATACTTGATTAATACACATACTAGTATCACATGAAATTAAATGTACATATTATAATACTCTATAAAAAGGTAAAGGTTTTCCCTTGTCATTAAATCTAGTCGTGTCCAACTCTGGGGGATGGTGCTTGTTTCCATTTCAAAGCCGAAAAGCCGCCACTGTCCGTAGATGCCTCCAAGGTAATGCTGCCGGCCTGACTGCATGGAACGCTGTTACCTTCCTGCTGGAGTGCTACCTATTGATCTACTCACATCTGCATGTTTTCGAACTGCTAGGTTGGCAGAAGCTGGGCCTAACAGCGGGAGTTCACCCCACTCCCCAGATTCAAACCGCCGACCTATCAGTCAGCAAGTTCAGCAGCTCAGTGGTTTAACCTGCTGCACCATCAGGGGCTCCATAATACTGTATAGATGATCCAAAGATTTTCTACAAATCTACATGTTTTAATCTACTTTCTTTCATCTGCTAAGTAACAACACAGCCCAACATTTTTGTAGCAATGTGTAAGGAGAGCTATTGTGAGCTTAAAGATGGCTAAATTTCATTACTGGACTGGTCTAGATCAGATGTTTTTTAAAAAAGAATTCCTACCACAATTATGTGAAATGTAAGTTCAACCAGACTGCATTTGTACTTTCTAGAATCCACAATATAATGGATTCATTAGTGTGTCACATCTGTTCTGTGCTGTACATTTACATGGACAGTTGAGACAAAAGTGCTATATTTATATACTTTTGAGCAGTCTGATGCAATGAATGTTTACTTGGAAGCAATTCAGTGAATTCAATGAATCTTCCTCTACTGTTATGATCCTAAACATATTTACCCAAGCCTGTTTGCTTCAAATCTTCGGTTTGAAAATTTCTGCATGACTTTCTTTTGGTATAATTTATGGAATATTTTATTCATTATCTAATTATTACACACCTGTTGCATTGGATAATACTTTATACACTAGTCTATCCAACTGTGGAAGGCCTGTTTGAAATTCGATTTGATGGCATTATGTGGGCCATACAATCTCTTTGTGCTATGTCAGTATAGCGCAGTTGTTGCATAGGCAGGGAAGGGAAAGGAGAGGGGATGGAAGACAGCAATACAATGAGTTTATTAAATGCTTGAGGAAAAAAGACAGAAGAGCAGAAACAATTTAATCAGTGGCTAGAAGAGATAAAGTGTATTTTGTTAAAAGGGGTTAGGCAAACACTAAAAAATCTGTGCACGTCCCTGGAGCATTACAACCAAATCTAGAAACTGTCATTCAAAGCAATACAGTCTGGCGTTTGGAATTCTAAAACTCCTATGGGGCACAGGCAGGCCTTCAAGTGTCAACATGAAGGAATGAGTTTTGTTTGCTGTTGCTGCACCAAAAAAGTCTGCTTAATAAGTCATGCTCATAAAGTCAAGTTTTTTTAAAAAAAGAAAAACACTCAGTATACTTACTTTAATGACAGTGAATAGTCATGCTTGCTGGTCTGACTGTTCCTCACAAGATAGCTACATTCTTTACACAACCGCAAGAGGTTTTCTGCGTCTGTCCGACTGATTGCTCCATGATACCATCTACAAGACAGACCAAAAGCCACAAAGCAATTAAAACTTAGAGTAAACTTGCCTTAAATTTTAAAAAACTGACAAACAAAGGAAGAAAACAACTCAGATTGCTACTCCAAAATTGTAAAGACAGTTTTTTTAAAAAAAAAACAGCAAATAAAGATTAAATATTTTGAAGTCTTATGGTTTTTAAGGGCTGGAGGAAAGAGAATAGACTCTTCTCTTTCCTCCAGCCCTTAAAATCCATAAGACTGCTCTGTACATACAGCTTACTGATTTTTCCCTACATCTGGGAGTGTGCGAATAGGAAAACAAAGGCAAGAAAAGAAATTTAGGATTCATACGTAGTAGAACGTTTTGAGTAGAATAAAGGATGAAGATATATCTCCTTGTCTTCAGATGTTGTTTGCCAGCATGCAATTGATATATACACAGATACATGTAAATTAGAGTTGTGCGTGGAATTTGTTTCTCCCATTTTTTTCGTTTCTTTTGGTACTTCGGGAGCACATAACGGGAACCCTTCTCCGGGCACAAAAATCGGCTCTCCACAAAAGCAAATAAGAGCTGATCCAGGCTCCAAGTCTGCCTTTCAACATCACAGAGAAAGCGTGAATGCCTTCAGTCAAACACTTCCCAGAATTTGCCTCCTTGCCTTGGAAAGAGAGTGTATGTGTGAACAGACCCAGAAAGAATGCGCCTGCCAGTGCCTGCAGCCAAGTGCTTTCTCTAGAGTAAGAATGTATTACTCTAGAGGAGGTGCTCGGATGTAGGCACTGGCAGGTGAGCACACTTTTTGGATCTGCATGCCACACAGACTCTCTCTTTCGAAGGAGAATGCGTGTGTGGCATGCAGGCCCAGAAAGCACATGTGCCTGCCAGTGTCTGCAGCCGAGCACCTCCTCTAGAGTGGAAAGAAACAGCAGGTAAGAAGAAGCCTCCTTAAAGCACGTGGGAAGGGGAGCCTGGGAAGCCCCGCCCCCATAATCAGCCAATAGGAAACTGATCTTTCGGCACCCCAGAGCGAAAACAGATACCTGCCCTCCCAATTTAGGGAGGCTCTCAAAAAACAGATCAGGGCCTCAACCAAAAGCCGGGACACAAAATGAGTCAAGGTTTACCTCGAATGCACAGCCCTAGTGTAAGTATCAATTGCATGATGGCAAACAACATCTGAGTTCAAGGATTAACAGACATACTGAGTGGAAAGTTTTCTGCAGCAGCATACAAAATTTGTCAGAGGATGACTGGTCCCAAAAGTTAGCTAAGTATTCAGTAATCATCTTCCTTGATTCTATAATGTCCTGATAGACCTGTGCATTGTATGTTTTTACCCTTTTTCCCTTTCCACTCCCTCACCCTTATTGTGCTTCAGTATTTATATTTTAAATGTGCTAAACGTACCAAGTTCATATGAAACTGTAACTTTTATTTCCTGTGCTGGTCTATGACCGAAATAAATGATTTGAGTGGAAATGTAGCTTCTTTCAACTTTTTCAGCTGCTGTCAAAATGTTTAGCAAAATGAGGCAAAGATGGAATAACCTGCACTATGTGTGACTTCAGGAAGGAGAATTACAGTTTTGAATCTTCCCATGTGGAAAATATTCTGCAAATAGAAAGTGGGTTTGGCTGAAAGGGAACCTTGACCTCTGATATACTCCTACTTTTCCTTTTAAAGCAACGGCCATTCCAAAATGGTATTTCCTGCATCAGTCATCCCCAGTCTGCTCTGTGTATACAGTTTACTGATTTTCCCCTACTAGTATGAAAACAAAGGCAAGGAAAGAATTTTAGGAAAGACAATAATGGTGATTTGAAAAATTTAGCAAAGAATGAGTACTATTCTGCATGTGTAGGAATATTAATACTACATTGATATCACTTGGAATTAAAGAGTACATTTGCATCAGTACTGAATTCTGCCGAGTGCAATCTGTGCAACGATGAACAAGATTGTAACTCTCAAAAAAGCCAGGTACTGCTCTAATCTTTCACAGTTATAGCATGAAAGATTGATGAAAATGCCAAATAATATCTGTAGAATTATCTATTTGCAATTTTCAGCAGAGGATAAGCTATTTTATGTTTGTAAAGGCACCTGTAAACGGGGTGAAACCCTCCAATTAAACAGCGAGGTGCCTTTTGCTGCTGCATGTATGCTGAGATTGGAAAATTATGTTCTGTAGGGTTTACTTTGTTGGAACAAATCCTTTCCCTTCAGGCGGTGGAACCATTTCCTAAATCACAATGGTCTGGCCTAGTCAACCTCTGAATAAACGAGGAAGACTTCTCTTGCTGGAATAGGTCCACCTGAGGCCCCCTCTTCACTGTCATATAATCCAGTTTCTGAATCCAGATTATCTGGATTACCCAGGTCAAAGCAGATAACTGGAGTAAGAAACTGGATTATATGGCAGTGTAGATCCAGCCCAAGTATCCAGACATCCACAGATTTATGCACATCCAATCAGAAGCTAGCATCAATATGTTGGCCACCTGTTGTTTGGTTCCCAGAAGAATCAGACTACCTTCTTACATGGAGGTTCTAGGATGAGCAATTAATATTTATAGCCCACTCTCTTTGAATTTTAAGAAGTTATTCAAACCAGTAAAATCATAATATTTTACGATAGTGAATTCGCTACATTAATTTGCACACTGTTGTAAAGAGCTATAACTTATGCAGCTCCAAATGTAGTACTGACCAATGTCACTGGCTGATTCTTCAATCTAATGCATGATAGAAAGGGAAATATTTCTTTATCCATTTCATTTTTTCCTAAACAGTGAATCATGAAACATTGTTCACAGGAAGGTGTTTTGACAATTTGAAAACTTTTTTTACACTTATGTACATTGTTTCCAACTCCATGCTATATTTCTGAGATGGGGAGATTAAATTATAATTATATATTTTATATTACATGTAATATTACTAATAATATTAGTAATATATAGTAATATATAATACTGATATTGTACTATGCTAATAATATAATATATTGTATGTGTATATATCTTGTAAACCGATCTGAGCCCCCTTCGGGGTGAGAAGGGTGGCATATAAATGTTGTAAATAATAAATAAATAAATAAAGTTGTCTGTTGCGTTGAAGATGGGTCTGTATCGTGGAGTGCTGGAATCCTATTTCCAATCTCTTTCCTAAGAATTTCCTGAATTTTAAATTGCTGTAACAACGTATTTTACTGCAGCAACAACATGGATATTAAGGGAGCTTTTCACCATAATATTTATTTATTTATTTATTTACTGCATTTGTTGACCACCATTCTCAGCCCTAGGGCGACTCACGGCGGTGTACAACATATAAAAACAGTTTACAATAGACAATATCACAACAAAATCAACATAACAATCAATAATACAATTACACTAAATCATCCACGCCGTCTCATCGTAGAATCATAAACCAAACTCGTTATCCATATTCCGTTCCGATCATCATTGCCAATAGTTGTAGCACTTAGTCAAACGCCTTCTCAAATAACCATGTCTTTAGGCTCTTGCGGAATGCCATAAGGGAGGGCGCCTGTCTGGTATCTACAGGGAGGGCGTTCCAGAGCCGGGGGTCCACCACCGAGAAGGCCCTATCTCTCGTCCCCGCCAGACGTGCCTGTGAGGCAGGCGGGATCGAGAGAAGGGCCTCCCCAGATGATCTCAAGGTCCTCGTGGGCTCATAGGCCGAGATGCGGTCAGAATATGAATGTCTTCTTGAAGATTACAAGTAGATTTTACTAGTAGCCATATGTGGTTGAAGTTTTGCCCATTTACAATATATCAAGGTTCAATAAAAATATATATGACAATGTGACCAAACAATGTATCCAGAACCAATCTGATTGTATTTCGGGCTTCGGGTACATCTACACTGTAGAATTAATAGCCATGGCTCAATACTCGGGAGCCCTATACATAATTTTGTGAGGCACCATCACTCTTTGGCAGGAAAGGCTAAAGGCCTTGTAAAACTACAACTCGTAGGATTCCATAGCCTTGAGCTGTGGCAGTTAAAGTGGTGTCAAATTACATTAATTCTATATTATAGTTAAGACATAGGTAGCCTGTAGGCTGTTAGGAATGGTGGGAGTTGGAGTCCAAAATACCTGGAGGGCTGAAATCTGCCCATGCCCATTATAAATGCTCCCTTTACGGTCTTGGTATTCATTGATAGTCTTCAAAAAGAGAAGCTTTGCAATGTAATGTTTTTGGTAAAATTGATGATATTCTGTAAAATCCTGTACATATCATAAATTAGCTGCAGCACAGTTTTTCCAAAATAACTCTTGATGTCATAGGATGTAATATATAATACACTTTATTTATATTCCACTCTATCTCCCCGGGGGAACACAGAGTGGATTACAACATACACAGATAGGAAACATTCAATGCCTTAATACAGTGGAATAACAATGACAAACAAATACACAGAACAAAAGTAAAGGCTTCCCCTTTCATCTCCAGCTTTCTGGAGGCAGCGCTCAACTCTGGCCATGGGGAGGTGCTCTTATTCCATTTCCAAGCCATGGAGCCTGTTGTCCATAGACACCTCCTGGTTGTGTTGCTGGTATGGCTGCATGGGCACCTTTACTATCTCCCCCACCAAAGCAGTATCTATCGATCTATTCACATTTGCATGTTTCGAACTGCTAGGTTGGCAGAAGCTAGAGCTAACAGCGGGAGCTCATCCTGATCAGCAGCTGCCAACCTTTAGGTCAGAAGATTCAACAGTTCAATGGTTTAACCCGTTGTGCCACCGCAGCACCTCATATTTTCTAAGTATACAGTTTAATAGAATAAACACTGAAAAATTAAATTATGAACACGCGAAACATGTTTAAAAGCATACATTATATTGCTGTATTGGTCATGTTCTCTGGAGTGTGCACAAATTACAGCAAGCCTTTGTAAATCATGTACAGAGGCAGCTGAAAGGAGAATACAACCAAATGTAGCTTTATTGTAATCAAGACCAGGCAAAACAGTGACCTGTTGTGTTGAAAACCCGTAATGCAGATGTATAGCTTGAGCTTCCTTCAATGAGCGACTGAGCTTTACAATCAATTTTTTTTTCTGCAGATGACTTCTCCCTATTTTCTCACCAACCAGCACTGTCAATGTCAGATGAACTTACATTTGTTTTTCCAGTGGGATAGTTGGATCCACTCTTTCCCCCAGGATGCCGCAAAATTCGGGGCTACCATGCTTGATAGGTTTGAAGCCTCCCCCTGGTGCTCGAAGCTGTCGACGCCGGTCGCTTGAAGACGGGGAAGGTGAAGATTGCCTCAATTCGCCTCCATTGAATTGGACTAAAAGAAAAGTTCAGGCAAAGTTATTACTTCCAAATCAACACAATTGGGGAAGCACAGTTTTATAAGATGGAAACTAGAAACTTTAAGCTACAAAACTGAATAAGGATGTAGCAAATCCAACTCTCTTAATGTGAAGTGGGGAATTTTGTTCTCTACTACCCATTCTTACACTTATCTATGAAAGCAAAATGTTACTTTGGAATCCAGGAAAAACAAAACACATTCAAGGCTAGCTGTGTGGGTCCTGCAGCAAAGTGCAACAAATTTAGGAAAGAGGGCTGACCCTGTTTAGATTCTATAACATGATGTAACACAATTGTGTGGGAATGCACGACTAGAGCCTCCTGCCAGCAAACCCAATTATGAGACACATAGTGAGTTGGGATAACAAATGGCCACAACCTGTTTACTGCTTACAGAAGAGACTCAGGGTTGGCAGCCCTGCATGGGTCCTGGATCCGAGGATCGGACGGCGTGTTGCAGTCCAATACCGCTTAACCCTTCTAGGGGATGTTGCTGATACCAACTGGCACAATGCTGGGATCCCGACACCATTGCACCCCTGGAGAACGACCGGACCTTTCCCTCCTCCAATGGGGGTAGAATACACAAGCCAGATCCAGGGCCCATGCCGCATATCATAAAGTTGTGAAAAAGGACAAAAGCTCAAGAAAAGCCAATCAACTAGAACAACATTGGATGGACTGGGACATCAGAAAGGTGTCTGCTAGATGTGACCTTTCACAGCCTTTATTAAGGGTGCTTATTCCTCCTGGGGGAAGCTGGCCAGTCAATCAGGGGGCGAGCAGGGACCACCTCCGATTGGCCAGCCGCCCGGTTGGTGGGAACTTCTCCTGCTACCATGGGGGCTTCTGGAAGGAAGAAGCCCCCTCTGATGCCCTGGCAGAGGGAGGACGCCCTGCCGCTGCAACCTCTCTGCCCAATAAGTTGGGCAGAGCAGTTTTGCTCCTGGGTTATAAATGCTGTTTCCTAATTAGTTCTATCACAAAAACATAGAAAAAGTTTATTAAACTGCAAAAAAATTGCTTTTGTGGGTCATCCTGCAGCACATTTGGCTATAGTTTTTCAATGAATATCTCACAGTCTCAACCAACTCAATATAGTTTGTGGCAGGTACAAAAACTAAGTTTCTGGAGTATAACAACTACTTTCAAAGTAAGTTTCATACAATTAAATAGGAAATAACACTTTCAAAGTAGGAACACAATTTTTCTTTTTCAAAATTTGTTACACAGTGTAGCAGACAGGATCTGGTGCTTTACTTCTAGAACACCGAAACATTTTTTCCAGATGTAGCAGTACAGAGACTGCTTGTGTAATTCAATGTTCTATGCCTAAAAGTGCATCTACACTAGAATTAATGCAGTTTGACACCACGTTTACTGCTATGGTTCAATTCTTTAGAATAATAGGAGATGTAGTTTTGTAAGGCATTTAGCTTTCTCTGACAAAAAGTGTTAATGCCTCAAAAAAACGACAAATCACAGGATTCCTTGGCATGAAGCCATGACACTTAAAGTGATTTAAAACTGCATTCATTCCACATTAGATGCACGCTAAGAAAAGCTAGCTTTGAACTGGACATGAACAGCTGAATCTCAAAGGAAGTTATTTTTCTGTTGCTAACGGAGCTGAAATTTTATTACCAGTCTTGTTGCTCTTTGTCTCCATTCTCATATGGCTAATAAGGTGAATGATCTGCCTGCATTAAAATACCCCAATACCATCATAACTGTCAATGTCTCAGAAAGAATGTAACTCTCTGACTCCAAACATCATCACTCTTTTTCTCCTGCATTATATATTTTAATGCCCTGGAGTTGGCCCAATAAAGGTATTGCTGCTTGTGTATTTTATTAACAATATTGTTAAGTTACTGCAATACATAAACACAGACTGCCCTGTGGCCCTTCTTGAAGTTTATACGATGGGGCCACTGTATGTTTGGTTCCTGGATCCTGTGTAGATACAAAAAACTACAGATTATCACAGCACATATTATTCAATGGTGGTGGTGTGAACATAAACACGTCATGGTGTCTGCATTCACATCAACAACACGTAATAATATGGGGAATGAAGATTTGTGGTCAGTTGAATTTGTGGGTCTAGAAACTATGGATCCAGAAGGCCCATGTAATGGCATTGTTTGGCAGATAGTAAAAAAGAAACCTGTATGTCTCTCCAGGCCCTTACAACATTTGTAGTTGCAACAGTGTTCAGGGCCAAATGGAAGTTTTGATACACCCTTAAGGGGTCTGCCACCTTCCCATACTAGGCACCCATGATACTGCCAAATTTCTAATAGCTGTAGTCACAACAACAACACTAGTAAAGGTCAATGCCAGGAATTAGTGTGCTGGTCAATAGACTGCCACGTTGCTGTGTGTATATCCAGAATTTATTTACTTGCCAATTACAGTCAGTTCCCAAGTTATGAATAAGGTAAGTTCTGTAGTTGAAGTATGCCAAGTTGAATTTGTTTGTAAGTCAGAACAGATATATTTTTAAATGTAATATGTATACACACACATATATGCTTTGTATAGCATAGAGATGTGTTAACAGCTCTGTGGTGTTTGTTTTGCTATCTGTGCCCCCGTTCAGAAGATTTTTCCTCACTTTCTGTCCCTGTGATACATTTTGCAAAATTTGGCTTGACACCTTTTTCCCATGAAAATTCTCCAAGAGTGAATTTCCCTTCCCAGGAGTAGATTTCTCTCACTTCCTGTTGTCTCAGCCCTGTTCTTACTTGTGAATCATTTGTAAGTTGGATGTTTGAAACTTAGGGACTGCTTGTACAAGATTCAAAGGCATGAGTTTTGCCCAACAAACATTAGCTACACTTTAAATAAAGGGCTCAATGCTCATCTATAACACAAATTCAAACTTGGCAGACTTAGTTCTGGAGAAAGGGTACGGGGGCTGAGTCTCTTTAGAAGATAACTGTCTGCAGACGCCACATAATTTCCCAGTATTTTGTGGGTGAAACCATGACCCCTGCCTTGGTGTCCTCCAAATGGTTTGGATTATATTTCCCATTGTGCCAGACCACTGACCACACTGGATGGAGTGGTGATGTGGGTTGCAGAACACTGTAGAAGGCATCACTACTCTTTTCTGCCCTCCAGTAAAGCAAAGGATGAGATACCCTTAAGATCAATTCCATACGTCTGTTTGTAGTATTTCTCCATTACTATTGCAAGATAAGTGATCTCTTAGGTTTCTTCTAACAAGAACTCTAGCAGAACAAATATGAATTGGAGGGTTCAGTAGTTCATAATTATGTGCAGGTCAAGCTGACATTTGGCATCTAATCTCTAGTCAGCACAAGCTTGTTTGTGTGTGTATAGATGTTAACTCAAATTTTCCCCAAAATCCAGTTACCAAAACAAATTCTAAACAATTATCCTAATCCAGGATCTTCAAGCTCATAGTTAGAAACAGCATATGCAAGACTATTAGAATGCTAGTTCCACACATAGTTTTGAAAAGAAGGGGAAATGCCTCTGCTTCATTAAATGCAAATAAGGATAACATAACTAGTACAGATTAAAAATAAAACAGATATACATACAAACCAACCACATTGAATAATTATAATAGTTTGACATCATTTCACTGCCATAGTTCCATCTTGTAGAATCCTGGGATTTGTAGTTTGCTGTGATACAAGAGCTTTCTGACAGAGAAGGGGAAATCTCTCACAAACCTACAAATAATTCTGTAACACTGAACCATGGCAGCTAATGTGGTGCCCAACTAGTCTCTCAAAAATATCCAGCCATGTTAACTACTATATGAAATGATTCTAAGAATGGGAGGTGGGGTTCTCATCTCCCAGCCTATCTGAGACAAACTGAGAATACTCCAAAACAGCCAGTCCCACCATGGTGGGGATGATGGGAGCTGTAGTCCAATATGTCTGGAGAATGCCTGGTTGAAGAAGGCTGTTCACAGCTTTGCCATTTTCTGCATGGAAGCTTCTAATGTCAAGGCCTTCAAAATAAATTGTGAGACATCCTTAAGGGTTATGGGACAGTAATGGGAATCCGGGAAAGATCTGAGGATTTATTCCCTGCCAACCTATGCTTTCCCCCTCAAAGCAGAGCCCTAAGTCATGCCAACATGTGGGAAGAAGTTCTCCAAGTTGGCATCTCATAACAAAGTCGAGAAAAGACAGCTAGACATTTCTTCCTCCTTCAAGACACCCAGGGAAACTCTGTTATGATCACATATCTATCTCTATGCAACCTTCTCATCTTCAAGGGAAGGATATCCCAACCACCTAATATTAGCTGTTTCTACTTTTAAAAATTTTAATTACCTTTATTAACTCGAGTTTTTAAAAATGAATTTATAATATGGCAGGAGGCCCACCAGGGCAGAAAAGCACATCAAGTAAATAAAGTACAACAAGACCTCGGCTACTACAGAGCCCATATCTGTGGTTTCACTTATTCATGCTTGGGGGGGTGGGATTGTCTTTCTATGACAGGCTTGGGCAAACTTTGGATCTCCAGGTGCTTTGGACTTCAACTCCCAGAAATCCCAGCCAGCTTACTGGCTGTTTAGTAATTGTGGGAGTTGAAGTCCAAAACACCTGGAGGGCCAAAGTTTGCCCATGCCTTCTCTAGGAATTTGATAGGTCCTCCAGGCAATTCTATGTATACATTACGTTGAAGATAAACAGAGTTGCCTTGAAGGGTCTAGGAAACTTCTAGAAAAGGTATGTATTTAGGAATCTTTAGATCCTCCAAATGTGCGTGCCGAGATTGGGAGTAAATAACTCAATGGAGTTCAGTCGTAGGCATTATTTCACCTAATTTCAGTCTGGTTAGGATGTATGTCTCACAGATATGAGGTCTTAGTGTATTTTCAGGATTGTTTCAGAAATTACAATGGCCAGCTTTCAATATGCTTTCTGGGGATTAGGCAATGGTTTTACTCTGCACACTTCAACAGCAGATAAAAAC